GGCAATGAATTACCAAATTATTTTCATATGACTACTAATACTAACTTAAGTGGCTTTTATCCACTGATGCTAGTTAGTGACAACCTAAGGGGGGAAAAATAGTAGCACAGAACAATTATCCATGTAGAAAAAAGACATCTTATCTGAAATATTTTGTAATCAGAACAGTTGTGGGAAGGGAAAGAGGACTTTGTGAAGTGATTTGAAAAAAATGATTAAAGAAGAGGCTCAAAATACGAAAGAAAAGAACTTCAAAACCAGCATAAAACCTGTATTAGAAAGATTCATTGTTTTTCATGAACAAATTGAAACAAAATAAAACTCCTAATTTATGCTAAAAATGCATGCAACAGCTCCACCAAGAGGCGTCCAAGGTGGCTTCCTCGGTGGTGTGCTGTACATGTACATGTTTAGCAACTGCCTCTGTGGGGGTAAAGAAAGGAAAAAGTTGGCCAGGATTGTTTGCCAGTTTCCACCATGAAAATAATCCCAATGTGGTCAATTTCAAGGTACCAACATACCTCACTGAGCATGAAGTCAGTAGACTGCAGTTGTCTCTCCCAGCTTCGGGGAGCCCAGCTGCTCCTACTTAAGATGAAGATGCTTCCTTTACTTACTAAAAATAGATGCAAACAGTCTAATTGCATTTTAGAAATGTTTGATTTCAAACTAGCTGCTTCTTTTATAATACTTATTTAGTCAAAATTTTTACTTCACTTTCAAAGCAGCTCAAGGGTTAAACACATGAGATCTGGAGACAGAGTGCAAGAGTTCCAAACCTGTCTCTCCCCTTCCCAGCTCTGTAGCAGTGGGCACATTTTTCAAGGTCTTCTTGCAACTGTCCACTCCTCTTCTGGGTAGAGATTGACAACACTGTTGGCATGAAAATTAAATCCGTGCTGAAGGAGAGGTACTTAAGATAGTGTTAAACATATTCTGGATGTTCAGTTAAGGTTAGCTGTGGTTTTCATGTGTTTACCACTGGCTTAGTGACAATTGAGGGATGGCATGACATAGGAAGGGCATGTGGGCATAACAAATATCTAGGGCTGTAATAAATTTTATGAGAGTTTATTTGAGCCAAACTGAGGGCATGTGGCAGGGAGCAATATATCAAATGCAGCTTCTTTTATGCATTTGTGATTAAGGAGGGAACTAAGGAAAATGATGAAGGGCTGGGAGAAAGCAAGGTGGGGGTCTGATTACAGGGTAGTTAATAGGAGTATGTGTTTTCTTGCTTTAATGACTAGTATTACTTTTGCATTTCAAAGGTGTGTTGACCTAGATTAGAAGAACAATGAGCAGGGTTGACTTAATACCTTTACTAAAGAAGTTAGGGGGCTGAGGCATGGCTACCCTGTGAATTTACAATCAGTTGATCCTGTGAGGCCACTTTCCATAGGAAACCCCTCCTTCCCCCCCCCCCCCCCTTTTTTTTCCATCCACAGGTACTATTAAAAATGAATGTTGATAAAAGGGAAATTTCACTGTGAAGGGAAGATAAAATACTTTTAGTCACATAAATTTATCTTCTTCAAAGGGCTTATGTAGATCTTACTATACTTAATATTCAAGAAGTCATTGTCTTCTAAGTTTTCCCCCTCTGGAGCATATATTTGGCACAGTCAGTCTTTTCATGTCCTGTTTTGGGAGCTGACAATGGTGTTAGGTATGTCTGTTCTAGGAATTAGTCTCTCTTCTCCTCCGTTTTGACCATGAACCAATGCAACAGACTTGAATTACTCTGATCATTCTATCACAGGTTCCTCTGCAAATGCTAGCCACTAGTCTTAGAAGATTCTTTCATTTTAGACAATATGTGCCAATTGAGAATTCTGATTCACAACAAAGAAAGTTAAGCGATGTAGCTGACTTAAAAATACATAAGATGCCTTGTTGCCTGACAAGTGAGGGAGACTGCTATCTATGCACATAATAAAATGACATAAACACACCGAGGGAAGGAGGAAAATGATGGGTATAGGTTGCCTGGGAAAACAGCCAACTTCTGCAAATCTAAATTGGAAGTTACGAGTTAAATCTAAATTTAAATAGCATCATGAACTTGTTTTAGAATGACTCCTCTGAAACCTAGGATGGTGGTGAGCTTAGGCAGAGTAAATAGAGAGTAAACAGCACCACACCTAGACTGCCTTCTTTCTCCCTTTCCATCACACTCCCTGCTAAAGTTTCTGATTATTTTACAGTTTCCTTAGAATTTTCCCCCCTCTATGCATCTTTCAGATGCTGATTCATACAAGACAAGGCATCTAGTAGATCCCTCAAAATATTTATTTGATGAAGCTATTGAAGATGAATCCTTAAATTGGCACATATACTAATTTTGCTAAATGGGAAAAATTAGTATTTTTTTTTTTTTTAGAAAGACTTGAACCATGAGGGGTTAAAAGCAAAAAGTAGAAGTTAACTTGATGCTTTTCCAGGTTGTAACCAGAATTAAAAGGAAATTTCAATCTTTGAGAAGTTTGTTTGACTGCCTCTACAACACTGGCTTCTAGATTGATTTTGGAAATCACATATCCTTAGGGTGTTTAGGATTAGTAGATTCTCCACATGAGTTTGCTCTCTATTGGGAAAAACTAAATTATTTGACCACAGGGAATTTAGGCCGCAGGTCCCAGTGAAATTGAAGGTGCAATGCTTTAAAGTCAGAATCTACAAAGAGAGAAGATGGAAGAAAGCTGTCCCAATCTCTTATTCCCAAGGACAAAGTCCAGGTGCACTGGGGCAGGGAGAGTAGCTGGCGTGTAGAAGACCCTATGGAATATTACTTTCTTCTAAGGTCCAGGAAAGAAAGACTGAAATAATTAACAAAAGTAAGTAATAGAATATATTTAAGGACAGTTAATAATGACATTTCTTTTCTTATTTGATTTTAATGTTATAGCTGAAATTTATGAGGACTTAGTTCAGCTAGATAATGCAATTTAAAGTTTAATTGTTAAAGAGCTTGATCTTTATTTTTAGATTGTTGTCTAATTAATTTTTAAACAAATAATGTCAAAATTACTATGACTAAAAAACCTTGGTGAAAAAATAAGAATAAAATGTTGAATTTTCAGAACAAACTCTGAATGGTTCATTGACTTTGTTTCACCATGAAAAAATCACTTCACATCCCAGTGTCAGTTTACCCATCTGTGAAATCAGAAGGATAATATTTTCTTATGGGGATGTTTTCAAATTATTTTGTAAATGCAGTGGATGAAATGATTATAAGCATCACTGCTTCCCCCACACACACACACACACAAACACACTTGTTGAAAGAAGTAGACAGTCTATCTATGTACTAGTTGATTGTCAAATTTTCATCTTGACATTACATATATTTACTATCAGTTGTGTGCTTTTTATTATTTAAAGAATCCCCTCATCCCCCAGATTTACTTATTTATGCAGTAAGTCAATACCTGAGAACCCAAGCAAAGTATCTTAAAATTATTCTGAACTCCATATTTATGAGCTACTAATCCTGTATCCATGGTAATTATTTCTTCTTTCTGTTTTTACTTATATTTCTCTGATGTGGTGTTTTGCTTCACCTCACTTCCCAAGATTGATAGTTCTCCATGTTTCCCAGCTAGAGGTCACCTTTGAGCTGAAAGAAGACACATCCCACTTTGGCTCCTGTTGACTTTAAGTCAACTACCAAAGAATTTATTCCAGACATATCCTAACCTCAACTTAAAAACTCCACCCTAAGGATTAGAGAGAGATGTCCTGGGGAGTTGCCATAGTGACTCTAAGTGGCTGGCATTGAGGAGACAAAGCTGCTGATATCAAAATTTTATACTTGATAGGCTTAATTATATCAAGTGGCCATGAACCTCTGTGCTTGTGTCATTTAGGTCTGGAAAGAAAATTTCCCCTTCAGGCTCTTCTGTATCTTATGGTGCCAATCAACAGGCTTCTTGGTAATAAAATTCTTTATGCCAATGTCTCTAGCATAACCTCAAGTGGTGCTTATAGTAATGACAGAATCATTACAAAACTAAAGAAAAAAAGGAAATATATTTCATGGGTGTGATTAAGTCATCACAATGTTCTTACATGTGTAAATTATCCTTGACTTAATGAACTACCTTTCTAATACAAGAGCGTTTTAAGCTGGCTCTAGCAAATAAATTTTACCCATGTTGGTAATTGTTACTAGACCTGGCAGAGCACACCTTCAGATGCTCTTGCTGACCTAACATTTATGTATTATGTTTCTATGAGCATGAATTTTGTTTTAAATATTGGAAGTGCTATTATTAAGTAGGGTTCTTCCATGCATTTCTTTAACAAATAACTACATCTAGGAAGACAGCAAAGTTATTTTCTAATGATACCCAAATTAACAAGGGTTATTTTAAACATTTTTTTCTTGAGAATAAAAGAAATATGTATTCAAATCATAAAAACTACAGAAAGGAACAAAGAAGAATATTATCTTGATTTCCACTTTAAGACTTTGATGGGTATTCTACAAAATGAACAATTTTTTGAAAACTACTTACATTGTTTTCTCTCACACATTTTGTATTTCTAAAAACAGCTATACTTACACGAAACCCTAGTGAAAAGGGATTTTTAAAAAAATTATTTTATCAAAAATTGAATCTAAAGAGAGTTCAGTTCACCCAAAATTATTCCAAAGCCTTATCTTCAAAGATGAGCAGTTGCAGCACAATTTACTATAATTAATGCAAGGCCAAGGTAAATTAATGATAATCATATTATTTTTTAAATACAAATGTTATGTGCATAGGAGGAAAAGGAGGTTTTCTGGAACATGTGAGGGAATACAAAGGGATCTCAATTGTATGTCAAAACTGTTGTCCTCTGACAAAGGATTTTCAATATACAGTGGTTTGTTGTTTGGTTGGTTGAAGTTTTTTGTTTTTGAATGAGAAGTTAAATACAATCAAGCTTTTGGGAAATTAATCATTTTTATAACTTTCATTTAATCAAATGTTTCTTTACTCCCCTTTTAGGCAGCCAAGGGCAGTTTCCACTAACACAGAATGTAACAGTTGTTGAAGGAGGAACTGCAATTTTGACCTGCAGGGTTGATCAAAATGATAACACCTCCCTCCAGTGGTCAAATCCAGCTCAACAGACTCTGTACTTTGATGACAAGAAAGGTGAATACATTTTCTTTTCAATGTTTTAATCATATTCTGAAATGTCCTAATTATAATGAATTTATTTCTAAGAGATGATTCAAATTATTCCTTTTGATTACCAAACTGCTGCTGCTTGTATTTAAACATTTTAAATATTAAATGCTTTAGTTTGCAAGTCATAAACACTAAAGATAACCCATGCCAACTTTTTAATAACATAAACAGTTCTAATTCTGTTTCAAAAATAACATTATGCTCTCTCTTAACAATCCTTCTATCCAGATACCATATTCTTTTGTTTTTGTAGCTTCATTGCTTATAGATTGAATATTTTCTTCTACTCTTCTGGCATTGTGATATGCTATTTTTATTACCTTCACTTTTTAAAAATATATATATATTTTATTGATTTTTTACAGAGAGGAAGGGAGAAGAATAGAGAGTTAGAAGCATCGATGAGAGAGAAATATCGATCAGCTGCCTCCTGCACACCTCCTACTGGGGATGTGCCCACAACCAATGTATATGCCCTTGACTGGAATCAAACCTGGGACCTTTCAGTCTGCAGGCCAATGTTCTATCCACTGAGCCAAACCGGTTAGGGCTACCTTCACTTTTCAAAAAAAGTTTTTGAGGCGTTTGTTGCAGTTTTTTCAAATCAAGTGATCATTGTCGCTTTCAAAAGAGTGAAATTCATTAATTTAAAAAAATTAAGTGAATAAGAAAGAAGTCACACAGAGATTTAACAAAATGTTTATATATATATATATATATATATATATATATATATATATATATATATATATATAAATATTGTGGCCAGATTATTATGATCTCTAAATGCATAATAATCTGGTCACAATATCTAATATATATATATTAGAGGCCCAGGGCATGAATTTTTAAATTCGTGCTTGGGTGGAGTCCAACCAGCCTGGCCAGGGGTAGGGGAGGGTCGAACTCCTGGTTGAGGGGACAATTTGCATATTAGCTTTTTATTATATAGAATATACACTAAGTGGCCAGATTATTATGTATTCAGAAATCATAATCATAATAATCTTGCCACTCAGTGTGTACATATATATAGTCATATATATAGTCTTATATAGTCTATGTATATAAGACTATACCAATTTTAAGGAAAACTCTCATTTGCCCAATCATATTAAAAAATCTTTTTAAGAATGCAGACTTTTAGGGATGTTCATGGAATAATTAAATATATAGTTTCACTATTGAATTTATCAATTTGATTATATTCCCATATTTAAACTAGCATAAAACATATTAGTTTAGAAAATGTATTTTCCACTCTTGCATTTAATGAAATAATTTAACTTAGAAACATTTTTTTTAAAGTGTAGATACTATCAATGACAAATTTGTCCCAACCAACAACTAGTATAAATTTTTATAACATTAGAAGATTCTTCTTTATTCATAGGAGTATAATAATTATCTCCACCATGTAGAAACTTATTGCACAGTGTTTTTAAGGAGATCTTTGAAAGACATTTTTACAGTGACATCAAAATCTGTGAGGTCAAATCCTCAGGCATAAAAACAAAAAAATATGCAAACTGTTCTTGCCTCCTCTTTCATGATTCTATAAGTTATCCTCTATGGAACGTCTAACACTAGAATTGATTCAGGGTATTTGAAGCTAATGCATCTTTCCTGTAGTAAATATTGAGCAACTTGTAAAGCAAGATTTGCAATGGCTTGGAAACAAGGCAGCTCCTCTTTTCTGAGGAATAATTATGGTGAGAAAAGCCATTATGTTATATTTGTGATATTTAGTAATATATTCCTGTATTTTACTGCTATAACAATATAATGGCCAAAACCAGTTTGTCTCAGTGGATAGAGCTTCAGCCTGAGGACTGAAGTGTCCCGGGTTCAATTCCAGTCAAGGGCACGTACCTTGGTTGCAGGCACATCCCCAGTAGGAGGTGTGCAAGAGGCAGCTGATTAATGATTCTCTCTCATGGATGTTTCTAACTCTCTATCCCTCTCTTCCTCTCTGTAAAAAATCAATAAAATATATTTAAAAAATATAATGATACACCTGACTGTATGAATTGCTGTTGTATGTACTTGCTTTATTTCATTTATACTATTCTAATTGCTAGATAGCTTAGACATAGGTTGAACAAAGCTAGTGTGTGTGTGTGTATGTGTGTGTGTGTGTGTATGTGTGTGTGTGTATGTGTGTGTGTGTATGTGTGCGCACGTGGGAGCGCACATGCTCGCATGTTTATGTATTTATAAAATAGCAGGTTTCTGTTTTCAATATTGGACTTTTTCTAACTCTATCATTGTTCTAATTGTCAGTTGCAACACAATAGCAGAATATTTTGAATAAAGAAACCTTTTCACAAATGGCCATTTAGCATGTCTGTACTCTCACAATTACTTGGTTCAATTCCTATGCGATGTCTTAGTGGGAAGGATCTTGGACAATGAGGTACATCAATGCAAGACTTAGAAAATGAAAACATTTTTTCAAGATTCCATTCAGAATTTACCACACACTGTCTTGTTCTCTGCATTTAACTGCCGAGCCTCAATCCTAAGACTTATCTTGAGCAAATAAACTTATTGCAAAATGCCAGAGCAGCAGTGGAGAAGCTAAGGATGGCATAGTATGACTAGAATGTCCCATATGTGTTCTGCAAGTGACAACTGCTCAGAACAATAGAAAAAATGGTGGGTAGCCTGTGTTGCTGATTGCACTAACTCCTCCTATAGGTGGCTGCTCCTGTTAAACACTTCATTCTTGGCTCTGTTCTTATTTCTGTCTCAGCTGATGATGCCAGTTGTTCTTGGAGCTTTCAAGATAAATTGTTTGTAGTATCCTAGTGCTTTAATTGTGTCTCAAATGATTATAAAATGCAGCTGAGGTTGAGAAGTTTTGAGTTGATCAAATCAATTCTCATAAGAGTTCTGTATCCCTAAGCTTAGATTTCTGTGCTAACATAGGTTCCTGAGAAGGAAGGAAGGTAGGGAGACAGGGAGGGAAAAAGAAAGGAGAGAAGCTGCCTAGAAAAACAGAACAAGTACTTCTTATTAACATTGCTGCTGCCAGGAAGAGATCTAAGAGGCATTCTGAATAGTGTTTCATGTTTCCTGGATACTCGAGCTCTGATAATCCTAGTTATTAGGGTTGAACAAAACACTCGGGATGGCAGACATTGGTCCAATTAGAACTGGAAAAGCCTTTCTTATTTACTTGGAATTAATAGCCAAAGAAAATTATGCTGTGTTTGGCCAGCTGGTGATCAGGTAAATAAGTATTAAGCTGAGCCCCTTTCCTATCTATCTCTTCACAGAAGTTAAATATGACCACTCATATTTACACCCCACCAAATTAGATGTTCTTCTTGTTGTACCACGATTGCTTTTTAACAATTTCCTTATCTACTAAGGCAATGGTCGGCAAAATCATTTAGTCAACGGAGCCAAATATCAACAGTACAATGATTGAAATTTATTTTGAGAGCCAATTTTTTTTTTAACTTAAACTTCTTTTAATACCTCTTCTTCAAAATAGACTCACCTAGACCATGGCATTTTGTGGAAGAGCCATAATCAAAAGCTCAAGGGGCAAAGAGCCGCATGAGGCTCGTGAGTCACAGTGTGCCGACCACAGTACTATGGAATCTCTTTACAAGGGAGATAGGTGTCCAAGGGAGAGTTATCTAAATATTGCAACATTTCTCTCTCAGGCAAAATATGAAAGAGGTCAGAGATTTGGGGCTTTTGCTACCATGAGCACATTTAACATGATCAGTAGCTTTTGCCATATACAGATGAAGAAACTAAGGATCAAATTTGTCCAAACATTCGGCTAATGCCTGGCAATGACAGGATTTGAATCCAGGTGTGGCCTCTGGGTTAGTTTTAGCCAAAGTGCCCTTCAGAACAAAGATATCTGGGCACCAGATATCTTTACATACAACCCATTGATCTTGGCAGCCACCTTTCAGATACAGAGCAGCAGTTCCTTTCAAACGCTTAAGACACACCTGGCATAAGACAGAGGATACAATGCAGTCAACACACCCAGCAGCACTCTTGATGATGATGGTAGTGCTCTGATTCTGTGCAGAATAATTCCATAGCCAGCAGCCATGTGTAGATATTTAAGTTAATTAAAATGCAATAAAACTTGAAATTTAGTTTTTTGATCACACCAGCTGAATTTCAGGCACTAAGTAGCTACATGTGAGTAGTGGTTACTATTTTGGAAAACACTCTTCTGGATGCATTGGCTGGTGGAATGCCCATTTTCTAACTGAGAAAGCCTTAGGTCATCATAAAAACGAGTATCAAATATTCAATAAGTAAAATTTTGCTGTTTAAATTGCACAGCTTTAATGGGAACACTGTAGCGCAGGAGACAGGGAGTCATAACTGACTTCTAATTCTGCCTTCTGATAGCAACTAGCAGAGTAATAAAATGGGCACATTGACACCCTACCAAATTAGATGTTCTGGTGGTGGTGCCAGAATTGCATTTTTAACAATTTCCCTATCTATTGTGTGTGCACTGAACACCAAAATAATTAACCTATAAAGTAGATATTTAATTACAACTCCATTTTATTTCTGTATAGTTTCTTTATGAAGAAATTTCTATAACAATCTGCAAGTGTAAATGGAAAATAAAACCAAGAGGAAAATTTGCAAGTTCTTATGGGTCAGAGGGAACTAGAACATATGTAGCTAAGGCAACATTCACTTTTATGGCTCTCTTTTCTCTACAAATCTTACTGCATCTTTTATCAAACATAAGGAAGCATTTGAAATAGAATGGATATAGAAAAACAGAGTAGGGACTTGAGGCCATTGAAACACCACAGGAATGCTGTGTGGTATTTGGCAATAGAATTGTAAAAAATCAATGAGATCATTGCATTGTGTCTCTAAAGGTGTGGCAGAAACAATTGAAGTTGTACAATCTAATCACTTAATGCTCAGGAAAGTATACTTCAATTCCTTCCTGTTATTGA